GGCAGCCTGGTTTCACCAACATTAAACTCATTGACGGCATCCTGAAGCAAATCACTGACCTCCATGATACGTTGGAAATATTTTTGTAGGACTTCTTCTCCGTAGACGACTTGCACTAGTACACGAAGTGTGACGTTGGCAAGACCCTCCTTTTGAAGATCCACCGGCCTACCAACTGGTAAGGAATTTAGGAATGTGGTGCACTCTCGTCCAATCGTACGCAGAGTGGCCGAAACAGCACTGGAAGAGAAGTATTTCTCGAAAGGGCCGCGGCATCGTCGCACCTCGTCACGCCCGTGGCTCGTTGCCAAGCAATTTCCTAAAATGTCTTTGAAAACGGAGCCGAGGCAGGTGAAATCTCGGTCGCGCTGGTGCGAGTAGTGGTCGGTATAGAACGAGCGAATGGCATCTGCGTCAGCTAAGATCCTGCGAGGATATTATAAGAAAATAAAAGACCATGAGTTCTTGATCGATGTATGATAAAAAATATATACATATAAAGCACTAAGTCTAGCTATTTCGGAAAAGTTATGCATCTTAGTCGTAAGAACGAATTTCCTCGACTCCAGACTCCAGACTAAAAAGTATATACGGCTAGCGTTTTTGTTTTCATTTCTGAAAACCAGTCTTGGAAACGGTGATTTACAAAGCAGAACTACATTTTAATCAACTCATTCTTCCTTTGAAGAACTGTGTATTGGTTGAAAAATTATCGGCAGTCCTTTCGTGTCTCCATAATTAAGATTACAATCCAGGTGTACCCCTGCAGAGGAACGAGTGATTGCACCTCTTGTAATGAGGTTTGGAAATTTAGGAATGGAATGAACCAAAAGATACTTACACAACTGGTGTCAGACAATGCCAGATGTAGTAAATTGGGCCGTGTATCTTGGACAGCGGTCGACCAAAGAAATTCACATGGTGAAAGTGCCCGTAAGGTAGGTGTGGCAATTCTCCTCGCATACGTTCTCCTTTGGCATTTTTCCATGGGACTCGCCAGTAAACTAGTGCAACCTTCAAACAATAAAATATATAGATAACTCAAGCGGGTAAAACTGAGTACACACTTACATAGCTTTTTATTAGGCGAGTGAAGATAAAAGCGTTAGGGCGAAGGCTTAGGAAACGTGAGGAACACTCCTCCTCTAGCGTGGAATAAAAGAGCCAGGCCATCTTCCTCTCGAGTCACAAGTTATGGTCTCCTATTCACGCACGGAATAAATGAGCCACGCGCCCACCCTTTCGCTCCGCCACGCGTTCTTCCACGCGCGCCTCTCGCACGTATCTCGTTCATGTGGCTCTCCTCGCTCTTTCACCGCCAGCCCGAAAGAGTCGCTGAAAAACGTTGAAAAGAAATAATGTCTGTTTTGCTGACCAACTCTTAAATTTCCTCCGCTGCTTGTCAACATATTAAGCGTGACTGAGTTTCCTGTTTTGTTGTTTTTGCCAGCGATTTTTCAAATCGTGACTTGAGATGAACTACAACAAATTGTAACTCTTGACCGGATGTTTTTTTACGTTCCAATAATCTAAGGGACTTTAGGGTCGGAGGGTGTTCCTTTTCCCGTAAGGTCAAATGAAAAAATAATGACCTTTGATTATACTCACTTTCCATTTATCCTCTTTGGTTTACAAACGGCTAAGCTATATATGCTAGGTAAAAGTGCTTTATTTTTTTTTTGAGGTTTGCCGCTCGCCGCAAATGACTTTATCTAATAAGGCATCTATTAATAAATAATATCGCATTTCAATCAACGCAAAGCGTTATGACGCTCGCCAACACTTTTTGTTGAGAACGTTCATTGAAACATTCGTTCCATAAAACTGTTCAAGCTTTTGTCAAAAAGCGAATTTTAGAAAATAGAAAAACACGGATATTTCGGTTAATGTTTGATAATATTCGGAAAATCTTCGGAGTTTTTTCAGAAGTATTTGTGAAAATCTTGGGTGTATCATCGGTGCCGATTAATCACTTTAAATAAAAAAATTACTTCATTTGAATGATTGAATTGAATGAAAAACAAAAACAGACTTTCGGATAATCTTCGGAAATTTCTAGGAAAATTTTCGGAAGTTTTCGAAAATATTCGGAGTCTTAAATTCAGCCGGAATTCCGGATTCCGGGTTTTTTCAGCTTACTACAAATTTCGCGTCGCCTCTAGTCGTGTCAAGTCGGCTCCTGAGAATATTTTGTTCCAACGATTCTTTGCACAGAAACGGGATCACGGCGCGCATGACCTCTATGAAAGACGTTTATTTTAACATCGATCTAATTTGATTTAATCCCTCAAGTTTTAGGCGACGTAATTCATTTCGAGATTAACGAAAAGTTGTCTTTAGAATTATGCACAGAGAAACTTTCGTGCCCCTTAATGCGAAAGTCTGTGAACCGTACGTTATGGACTCTCCTGTTCTACCCAAGCTGTGTATCAAAACATTTTGTCGGACAGTGATTGTTTGGCAGTGATTATTATTGGAGGAATCAAGAAAATGAAATACACGAGGTACCTTCACTAGTAATAATAAATACTTACCTGAATACTTCGATACAAAAGTGACCGCGTGAGAAACAGTATTACAAGCAAAGAGGTGACTAAACCAAGTGCTTTCCATTCTTCGAGCATTTTGAAATCCTGCACAAATGCACGCGATTGTGATTGTCTTTTAGTTAGTGCAATCTTAGGCCGAGAGTTGGAAATTTTGCAATTCCGAGATTTATAACCTGTAGGAGCTCTCAAATTCTCTAAAGGACCATCGCTTGCGATGTCTTTTCAGCCAAACTGTTGTGCAAAAAGGAATCATTCGCTTCTTAATTACAATAGCCACGTCATCCGAGTTTCCCGGAAATTTATCCACCGGAACTTTTAGAGAACTCGTGACTTCTAAATCATCAGGTTCTTTCATTTTTTTTGTTTGTTGTTTGTTTCGTTGTGCAGGTTCAGACAGACCGATACTTATAATCATTTCCGAAAATAAACTGATTACTAAGAAATGGCACCAAATCGAGTGGTTTTAAATGTGGAGGCTGGCGGATACCGTTCCATCGAAGCCGAGGGCAGTACTTGACGAGCACAGAGTGCACGACATATCAACGCCGGCATTCAATTATGAGCATTTCTCAGGCTGTTCTGAACGGTGAAAAATATCAGCTTCAAAAAAGAACTGTGATTCTTGGTATCAGCCCTGGCAATCCGCATTATTACAAGATAGAAACCCTCGAACGGTTGTTCGATTTAGCCGGAAGGACCTCGGAAAAGGTGAGTTCATTTTATATGATCCATCTGAGAGAATTACTTTTGGAGTATGTCTCGTCAACACGGATGAATTAACGAAACGCCTCTCTAAGAATCATCCCTTTTTTTGCAGGTCTTTCTCTTTATTCCGGACAAAATATCCGAACACAACTATCGTGCTGTAGGTTCCAAGAACCCCGAGAAGTCCGCGCGTATCAAATGTAATCGCCTGCGAAACAAATGCAATGAAGCCATCCAAAGTAGCGGCCTTCGCGATGTGTCCCACAGCTTCATAAGGTGGACAGAGGAGGTGGAAAGCTGTCATGAATACAAAAAGGCCTTAGAGAACATCAAAAACCTGTACGAAGTGAATGATGACTTTCACAACGACGTTAGACAATCTACCGTGGTGGCATTAAGATGTCTCAAAAACGGCCGTGAGAAGGGAGGTTCTGATGAGGAAAACAAATCAGCTGAGGCCGACAGTAACGTAGACTTGGACGAAGGGGTGCAGTATCTTCTGAAAGAGCTGGCTTTCTTTTTAGCAGTGCCGAACATTTATAAAGATTGCAATAATTTTGTTTTTGTGTATCATCGTCCCTGGCCAGTTTTAGAAAGGTTCTTTGGTGGGTTTTATGATGGTGTTGAAAAGCCATCTTTAGGTTTTGTCGTTTTTGAATGACATACTTTAGATATAAGCCATCAAGTCGAGGACAGCATTAAATAATGTTTAAGATAAGAATAGACACAAAGTTACTGGAAAAAAAAACGCAATTGACCCGTAGTCGATCAGTAATTACAATGAATGTAGATCTTTTGAAAATTATGATATCTGGTATGTCTGCACACATTAACACAACATTGTAAAAAGCTGTCACAAGATTTGTTGCTAACAACCAATAAATTATCTGCACCACATTCAAGATGTGTTGTCTCACTGACTCAATGTATCGATTGCTCAGTCCCTGACACCTTTGTCGGCACAAGCGGTTATCTACTACCTTTAAAATGCATCACCAACGATATGAAATAGAACTGTGTTCTTTGCGAATTGATAATGTAGCGAGTTTGACAAACTAGTTATCACGAAACGAGTAATTTTAAGAATTAAATAACAGAAAATCCTAAGGACCGTTCGCTTAACATTTCAACTGGCACTTAACTCCTGTTTTTAAAAACCTTTTGAGCCTCGGCACAGTTCATTCTGAAATAGACCGTTTTAGGAAACTGAAATGGAAATATAAATTTCCGGTTTTAGACATGAGAAGAGCGAGCAAGATGAAAAGATCTCGATGGTATTAAACAGAATTATGTTACTCGTTGAAAAGAGCTCAAAAGAGAAACTATTCCGTCTGTTTAATCAGCATTTTTCACATTCAATATTTCCAAAACGGATGGAAAATAAAAATACCGATTCGTTTCACCAGAGTTCTGCAAAAACTGAAAGGGGTTTCCACCACGGATTCAGCTTTCCTTGATTTATATTTCCCCGAGAATATAACATCACAGCACTTAAGGTTTGCGTCACTTGGAGTTGTCTTTGAGTAAAATAAAACAGAACATTGTGAAAAAAAGTGAAAAAATTTTAATGGTCGCTCCAAGGTAGAAAAGAAGCAAGAATGAAACAATAAGGAGCCAAGAGATAGCGAAGGATTAAAGGTGATGAAACAGAAGAAGCACAACTTATTACAACAGATCTGGAACGATTCTGGAACGGAAGTCTCTGCCATAATAATTATTGCGTCATACTTCTCGGAAAACTCCCACGCAGCTAATAGCAGTGACTTTGTTTGAAAATACGTACCCCGGGGGCTATGTGTATAGCCCATTTCCACGAAATTTACTCGAACTTTGACCACATTTAACAGCTTAAAAATGAAACATGTCAAATCACGTAATTCCGAGAACGATTCCAGCTAAGTAAATAGCACCTCAATGTATTTTATTCCCGCACATTACCGGATTCACCTCTGCACATAACCAGGACGCGAATCGTGGTTTCTGTTCGAAATTAGAGACTGTGCAGCTGTTAACGGAACAGAGTAAGTATGGAAATTCCCTGGAAGCTCTACCTCTCTTGCTGGTTCCTTGGCGCCGCGGTTCAAAGCGCGGTGTTCTTTACCTTCAATGCAGCGGATTATTTCAATTACTTTTTCCCAGATCAGTACAAACCTGAAGTCTACTTAGGAGTCACCGTCGGCGTTGGTGCAAGCTTGGGTGCGGTTTTGACGGTATTTTTTCAACCCAAAAGAAGCCATCTGACTGTACTTGTTGTCACGCTAACAGTTTCTGCGATTCTCCTGGTAATAGAAGTAGTCGTTACTCCATTGAACGCAAACGCTTTATCTAATCCAGCTCGTTTTGGTTCAGTGATTGCCGTTGTCTTTGTGGCAACCGTTGTTCAAAACGTGGGGGGTGGGGCTCTGTACGGCTTCGTTGGAAAGCATTTTCCGAAATTTGGAATTCACGCGGCACAGTCCGGCGGTGTCTGCGCTTTCGCGGCGACGTTTATCATCAGGTGCATCTCCAAAGGGTCGTTTGAACATCTTCGAGACAGAGATCAAGGTTTTCGTCTCAGCGGATATTTATTCGTCGCGTTGGTGGATCTGATAATTCTTATAGCGTGCTGTCTCATCGCCATCTTGAGGGCGCAAGTTAACTCCAATGCGTATGCGCAAGCAGGACGTTTAAACACCTCCTATGATAACAAAGAGCAGCAGCCTTTGCTCCGCAGCGATGATTACAGCGACGTCTCCCGGAAAAGAGTGATCAGAAATAACTGGGCTGCACTTGCAACGGTTTGCCTGACTCTTGTGATATCTAACGCTTTATTCCCGGGAATCACTTCTCAGTTCCACGGGAATTACAACTGTTCGTCTTCTCACAACATCACCACCTTGTCATCTGATAATCCTACAACCCCCGTTTCACCGAGCAGCGCATCAAAGTCTAGCGACCAGACGGGCTGGTTTATTGTCATTCTCTTCGGCTGTTACTCGGTTGCAGACGCTATTGGAAAAAACCTGCCAATATTCGGAATCTTCTACAACAAGAAATCGATTCTTGGCAATTGCTTGGTTCAGCTTGTTATTGCTATACCGATCCTGCTTATTTACTTCGAGCCATGTGATCGCAAACTGCAAGCTGATTGGGTGGCTTATCTTACAGTTGGTTTGCTCGGACTGGTCAATGGCTACGGACTGTGCGCTGCCATGATGCTATTGGCCCCAGGACAAATGGGAAAGAAGCAAGAGGAGGGCCTGGCGACCAGTATCGGCTATATGTTTTTACAAGTCGGAATTCTTCTCGGCATGGGAGTTTCTGTGTTTCTCGTGGATTATGTGTTCGAAATAACCAAACACTGAAAGCGGAAAACCGAACACACGGGTAACAAGTAAGCATCCGTCTCGCTGTTGCGCGCGTGATGTCTCATTTGCGCGTAATGTAATTTGAAAATAATAACCTTGTATAGTTACTGGTTTAAAAATAACTCTACAGAAATGGTACTACACATGTTCTCTTTCTTTCTCGGCCAACGACTTCTTCACCCTGTGATCATTACTTAATCAAGGAATAAACACAGCAACTAAACACACTTGTGTCTTGAGTTTAATAGCACCAAAAATAAACCCCTTACATAATAGGCAAAGTCGTAAGACAGAGGTTATTTTCTAAGTAATTTCTCATGTAAGAGGATTGCGCACGGGCATGAAAGTGCCCTCCACCCGCAGCACCCCTCCTTCCTTCCGAGCACCCCTCCTTTCTTCCCAGCACCCCTCCTTCCTTCCCAGCACCCCTCCTTCCTTCCCAACACCCCTCCTTCCTTCCCTCCATAGAGTTAGCGAAAATAGAAAACCTTGGACTGCCTTGATATCAATGGACGCGGAAAGAAAAATTATTAGCAACAAAACGCAAAGCCAAATAATTATCTAGACTTTTCCAACGAACTAAAGTCATACGCGTTAATACTAATGGTTTCTTCGTGTTAGAGAGCATTTTAATCTTCTCTAACGCTAAAAGCACTTGTCCGTAAGTTAGAAGTGCTTTTCTCCTGACATTCAGTGGTGTTTTTGTGCTCCTAATTCAGCCACTTATCAACTGCGAAATTTTCTTTCTGAGAACAACTTGGACAAGTAAATTTTAAGATGTAGACTGCTACGCATACATGTATAGAACTAAGAATTCGTAAATGATTCTGTACGAATTTGCTGCTTTCAATGTTGTAACGAACGCTTGGGTATGAAAATACCATCGAAATTGGTTCCTTAATAAATATGTGGTAAATATACACCGTATGAATACCTCAAAAAAAGACGCCGGCTCAGCGGTAAATGCAAGTCACGTGATGACCATCTAATGGCCAGTCCCAATTGTGCTCGGTAACTTGTGAGCAACTCTTAGCGTTTGGAACCACTCTTTGCGATTCTAGCAACTCTGAGAAATTCTTGTATTTCTGACCAATTTTTAGGCGGAATGTAGGTTTAGATAACATATCAAGCACGAAAAACGTCGACGACTTCATAGAAATTTCAATTTCTGCAAATTTTTTTGAACTTTTATTAACCTTTGGAACAAATAACCTGTCACTTGAGAACGTTTCGTTTGGTAAGACGCCATATGAATCACGTGTTTGTTCTGTTAGCCAAATGAATATCCTGAAATTTCGCCCATATTTACGACCTAAGTTTCATACTATTTTGCTTGACTGATGTTGGCAATTATTGCGAAAAAAAAAAAGAAGAAAACCATTCATTAATGTTTACATAAAAATATCAACAATTTCACGCAGCAACTTTGAAATTTGGGCAGCAACTTTTGGATTTTTGACAATTTTAGAGCAACTTTAAGGCATTCCAGCGACCAACTTTCCAGCATTTTACAAGCACAATCGGGACAAGCCTAACCACCAAGAATAACAACGAAGTGTATTCCGCGCATAATCGAGCAATCAGAAAAGAGAATTTGAAAGTGACATTGGATGGTTTATCATATGCGGCCGACTATCATAAGCGAAGAAATTCTTTTAGGTGTAAAATTCTACCTCCAAAATAAAGTTCTACTATATTAACTCTTTCGTCGAGCAATAAAAAGTGCTCAAACTTTATAACCTACATAAAAGTTTGAACTAATATTTGCACATATACCATTCGACAGTCTTCAGCCCCGCCAATATTTCCATCCAAATAAAGCTTTTACGAAACCCGCCCTTGACTCGTTGCTAAGCTACGACGCTGATAACAACGGACGCAGGCTCCTTTACCCAAGATACTTTATGGTACCTATTGTTGCTTGAGGTTTTCTTGGGATTCTACATTATTGTCTTTTTGTTGTTCTTTAAGCAAGAGTTTTTCTTCCTTTGTTTCCATAGACTCCTGTTTATCCTCAGCCGTCTCTTTGTCAACTTTTTGCGGTATCGTTTCTATTTTTTCCTGATTTTCTTCCCTGGAGTGTTTCTTCTCCTGTTTCTTGAGTTCCTCCTCCATTGTCTTGCCCATGTGGGTGTAGTAATTAAGAGCCTTGCGAACCGGCGCGATTAGCGGCTCCTGAAAAAAACCAAACGCCTTCCTTTAAGAATACGAATAATGATCTTTGCTCTTAATTTCAGACCACATTTATGATTCTAAGCCTTGTATGCAAGTATACTCAGCTGACCACTCCCCCAATGAGGCTTTTCACGGCTAAAACGAACAAATTGGACACAAAAATTGTATATAAATAAATTGCTTTCAAAGGAAGCAGATCACCAAGAGGCAGACCAGTTGCTTAACCAGTAACCACCTTGCGTTAATCAGTGGTTAATAAATGATATGCTTCTGGCCAATCAAATTCGATCACTATCCATTCACGACTGAAAATTTTCCCGCGCTCAGCCTACCATGCACAACGCGTTTTAGCTTTCCCGCGCTTTAGCTTTCCCTCGCTTTAGAAGCGACAGGATATATTTGTTTCACTTCCTCAGTAAGTGAAACCGGTTATTAATCTCTGTAAGGTAAAGTCCATGAAAAGAAAAACAAAAAAAATATGTTACCTCTAAAACAGGAAAGAGTTGTCCAAGAGCCTCAAACAATGGTATCAGAACAAATCGGATAAAGCCTATCTGAGCGGACGGTTTAGTGACCTGCAACAGTCCAAACAAAACTGGTAACGTGAATGTAGCAAAGCAAACGAAAGTTTTCGGGTTCCCGAAAGGCAACTAATACATACACCGCACCTCTTAGTGCGACAATATTGCGAGCTGGTTTGCAATCTGGTGCGGCGTATTATAGAGGGAAACCTTGTCCAATACAGATCATTTTTATGAAAATGCACATCAACTACTTCAAGAAAGATAACCTTGTCTCTGTCCATGAATGGTGCCACTGGCAATCCCTCAAGCTTTTCAACATCACTCTAACAAAGGAAAAAAAAAAAAAAGAAATTGTTTGGGTAGCCGTAACCTTCCACATCCAAAGTGCTCATTAAGATCTCTGCTCTTTACACGCTAACTGGCGATACGTATTCCCGAGCTTTTAACAGGCACAAAGTTCAAATTTTTCCCAGGCTGTCCTTACGTTACAAATTTCCCCACGCTTTTAACTGGTTCATGGTGAGATGTATTCCCCCTCCTTCCCTCGCGCTATCTGACGAGCTCTATCCTTTGTTTTCACCTACGCTTTTTTCAGGTTACACGTTCTCCTGCGGTTTCATCGCAGTATCTCAGCGTTTTCCAGCTACAAGTTTTCGCGCTTTATAACCAATTCATGTTTTTCAGCGCTGTCTGCACGCTGTTAATTTTCCCGCCCTTTTGATGGTGTTGCGCCAATATCTTGCCACGTTTTCCCGCTCTTTCTTTCTGATACGCACTTCAGTTAAAAACCTTTTTGCCGCCGGAACCATTTATACTAAAAAACAAGAAGTACCGTCCTTGTTACATTTTAATTAAACCAACCTGAATAAAAAACTCTTGTAAGAGGCAGTCCAGCCATGGCTCAGCAACCTCCATTGGTCGAGCCTCATTAGAGACGTCTGATACCTTGATCATAATCTGCATTAACTGCAATAAACATAGAAAATAAATTAGTCAAGACGCCCGGCGAAAGGCACCAAGACTCTCGAGCTGTCTTTTTCTGCTTTCTTTTACTACTCCGATTTTCAGTACACAATTCCACTTACATCTAAGTTTATTTCATTCTGAGTAACTCTGGTGAATCTCTTAGGCTCTCACACTCTGATTCTCACAGGATACTTCTTTAATAGCGGAATTCTGACTCTATTCTACAGCACACTGTCTACATTCTTCTATTCCTCTCTTCCTCTATTATCTTTCTCTCTTCTCCCCACTCTCTGCTACGTAAACACTAAGGAACATGCTTATATATTCACTAATGACTGATATGGGTGGGCATGCCAGCTGCCTAACCTTGGGAGATCAAACATCCGTTGTTAGAACGTTAAACCAAACAATTTCACGAGACTTTCGATCTGAACAACAAAGTACTTAATCATAATGCTTCCGATCAACTGAGTCAACCTCTGACTGCGTTAGTCAAAACAAGAACTTTCGCGTGGGTCCAAAGCAAGGTCAGGAAACAAACTGAGCACGTCCACTTGAAGCAGTTAGAAAAGGCTGTCTCAATTCGGAAACTCGTCACGACAGCTCAAACCTAAATAACTTCGGGATTTGGACACTTTCTAAACGATAAATTAAATCATACTGAACTGACTGCAACTAACTGATCTACTGATTATAAAATAACTAAACGCTTCATAACAAAATCAATAAATTGACTGCAACAACATAAAGGAAAAATTGCTAATTTGAACTTTTTTCTCAGAAGCCACCTTTCCACTTTTCCATACTAACGGTTTTCTTCGTTCATAAAACCACGTCTTTAGTTGCGCGTAATAAGGATATGAATATATTAGTTCTAGCTATTGTGCTGTCAATATATAGTGGTAATAGGACTGAGTTGAGTCCAATTCGGTCTGTAAAATACGAGTGATAACAAAATCGAACGACCGCGCAGTGGGAGCCTGATTTGTTCATCACGAGTATGATTACAGACCAAATTGGAAGACACGACGACTTATTGCCAATTAATCATAAAAATTACAATTTCCGAGAAAAGAGGAAGAGCCAAGTACTGAAAAAAAGGGAAAATTTGCATTAAAAGACAGATAAAGGAGGCGTACATTGTTTAATGTCGCTCTGGAATTGACCACAATGAAAATGACTGTGGTTGGTTGATTTAAACTAAAACTTTGAATGTGATTGGCTTATTTGAACAGTGCGATAACAAATTGTTCCAAAACAACTTGGCAAGGGGAAAATAGATCAACGACATTGTGATTTTTTTACGATTAACCATGTTACTGTTTAAAAATGTCTCCTCACCATGGACTTGTGAGCTTCGTTTTCAAAGTTAAAACCATCAGCCAGCATATCTTTGAATTTATTCAAGATTTCGTTATGTCTTGCCATATCCGTTGACAAAATACATCTACAAAGCATTGTAAAAACGATAACACATTACAAATAGAACAAAATCGTCAGCAAGTGCTGTGGTTTTCATGAACAGAAAGAAAAGATGTACATAAAAATGGAGATAAGTTTTT